TAAAATGCAACAATTAACTAGTTTTATACTTTAATTAAAAAGCAACAATTAACTAGTTGTACACTTTAATGAAAAATGCAACAATTAACAAATGAAGTAATAGCGAAATGACAAATGCAACAATTAACTACTTTTATACTTTAATTAAAATGTAACAATATTCTATTAACTACTTGTAGGTAATTAATAGAATTGTATAAGTGTATAACTAATATATAATATAATGTTTATAATATATAATGTATAAGTGTATTACTATAAGATGACTAATACAATGAACTAATCAAGTAATGTATGTTAATACAATATTAAACAAATATACTTCGAATAAAAAAAGTATAATATATATAAGTATAATATATATAAGTATAATATATATAGTAATTCGAATATAGTATAATATACTTTGAAATTCAAATATATAATACTACTATATATAGTAATTCGAATATATCTATATAATGTTTTATATATATATATATATATATATATATATATATACATAAGTATATTTTATATATAATGTTTATAGTATATAATATATAAGTATACTACTATAAGATGAGTAATACACTTATATTGAATACTAATAAATATTAGTAAAGTACTATATGTATATATAAGTAGATAATAAATATATAAGTAGATTTAATAATAAGTAGATATTAAGTAGATAAGGAATATAAGTTATAATATGTGTGTGTGTGTGTGTGTGTGTGTGTGTGTGTGTGTGTGTGTGTGTGTAAAGTAGATAATTAGAAGATAATAAATATATATTAAGTAGATAATAAATATTATAATGTAATATATGTATATATAAGTAGATAATAAATATATAAATAGATATAATAATATTTATATAAATAATATATATGTAGAGATAATTGGAGAAGATGAAGATGGATATGAATGAAGATTTTAGAGATTGAGATTTGAGAGAATAGAGAATTAGAGAGTAGAGAATTAGAGAGTAGGATTTTGTATGAAGAAGGTGTAAAAAATGTATAGAAAATAGGAGTATAAATAGGTTTTTTTTCTCCCCCCACCCCCCACCCCCCCTCCAACGGCTATAGAGCCGTTTGGAGGCTCCCCAATGACCCCAACGGCTATTAGAGCCATTTGTTGACAGCCCAAAAAAAAAAAATTTAAAAAAAAGATCCGTTAGGCCCGGGCCGGTTCAAGATTACGAAGGCCCGAGCCCGGACCGCCCTACCCCCGGGCCGGGTAGGCCCGGACCGCCTGAGGCCCGCTACACCGGGTCGGGCCGGTTGCTACTGTGGCCGGGCCGGGTCGGGCCCGGTTCGGGCTGCCCGGCCCGAGTCCATCCCTAAATTAAATGAGTTAGTTATTCAATTAAATGAGTTATTTATGCTATTTACTTAATTTATAAAAATATCTGACATAAACTTAACTGCACATATTAAAAGTTGTATATACACTCAAATATTCCAAAAAAATACTACGTATAAAAGGAGAAATTTAAAAAATTCTAGTAGATTTATACTACGGGGATAAAAATAAATTTAAAAGGAGTACAACTTAATGAACTTATGATAACATTTTTGTAAGTAGAAAATTTTCAGAATTAGAGATGAATTTAAAAAAAAAATGTATACTACAGGGATGTAAAATAAATTTAAAAAATGCAGGGATCTAAACAAAAGTGTTTCATATATAGAGCTATTCAAAACATATTTAAGCCTTTTAAGTCGCTCAATCCAATTATCCAAATGTATTAAAGTTTTGAACGAGAGGAAATTCTCGCTATAAGAGCATCTCCAATGGTAAAATGTGCACGGTGCACACGTGGCATGAGAAATGACCACATAAATATTAGTAAATAAATTCTTTCTCTCCTTATTTGAATGATTTTATACAATTTTGGTAAGTTTTTCTCCACAATGTCAAAGAGACCGTCTAGATGTGGACATTGTTGTTGACATTGCAGGGAAAAACTTACCAAAATTGTATAAAATCATTCAAATAAGGAGAGAGATAATTTATATGCTAATATTTATGTGGCTATCACTCATGTCACATGTGCACCGTGCACATTATAACATTGAAGATGCTCTAATATTTGCACATTTTAAACCCGCCACAACAATCTTTATGCTACTCTTCACGTTTGAGCTAAATGTTCTATATGTGCATTGATTATTGAATGGGCGTCGCCCTTTTCCTTGTTCCAAAATATATTTGGAGACCATAGCTTTCTACGTAATCAATGATGTTTCTTTCACTTTATTTAATTTGGAGACCATACTTTATTTGGAGACCATACCTTTCTATACGTGATCAATGATCCAATGATGCTTCTTTCACTTTATTTAATTTGGAAACCATACTTTATTTTATTTTATTTTATCGTCGAGACCATACTTTATTTGGAGACCATACCTTTCTACAAATTAATACCCTACTATACGGAGTATTAATTTGTAATTGATGTCTCATAAATGACAAGTCATTATTGCATATTGGAACTCTGCATTCCCTCTTACCACTGCTGAATGTATATTTGTATGATCATTACAGTTTTGGTACGCAAAAAGAATTAGTTGATGGCAAAGTTTGTAGTATGGTTCAAAAGTAGTGTTTACTGTTTAGTAGTATTGGGATAATGATAGGATGCAGCCCATTTTCATCTACTCCATGTGCAATAAATTCATTTCAATCCAAAAAGGGGATCGGAATTGCTCTATTGCCCACTACTCACCCCGGTCGGACAATTCATTCCAATCTACTTCATCAAGCTAAGGCCAGTTATGGTTATGGAGAGGTGCTTGATAATGTTACATAATCATGTTACTCTTATACTCCTATTACTTCAAACTTTAATTTTTACTAAACCTAGCCACAACTTATGCCCAAATCCAATCGAATTCGGTGTTGTTCATATTAACGTTTTTAAACCAAGAACGTTAAAATGAACATTAATATGATCATACTACTATACGTGTTTAATTAAAAGTGAAAAATTTGCTCAAAAAGAAAATTTAAAAGTGAAAAATTCGACCAGAAAGTTAGTGAGATATATGTTAATACAGGGGCTTAACCAGGAGTAAGAGTTGGACTGACCCGGTACAAAGAATTTTTGCAGATAAATATTTACACATAAATTTTGGAATAAGCAATTTTAAATTTTGGACTGTGGCCCAATTGGCCACCCCTACACCTCCGCCCTTGTGTTAACATGAACATTAATATAATCAGACTACGTCGTACTTAATTAGAAGTGCAAAAATTGCAATCCGTATCAATGGATATTGACCAGAGCGACGCTACCCGTGCAGGACAGCTGCGGCCTTCTTGAACTTACTGGATTGGGTCCTCTGGTACAAGATGAATAATGAGGGAATAGCAATCAACCTTATTTATAATTGGGTATTTTTCACAAATAGACTTACACGTGAAAATAATATCACCTTTTTCACTTTTTAAAACTTTTTTCAAATATAGCTACTGAATAGTTTTTCTTTCAAAAATGGATCGTCCGTGCGAAGCCCACTTACTGCTTACCGCATACACTGGTTTCCCTTATCCCTGGTCCTATTAGGACACGTGAGTTTTGAGCTGCGCTACTACTTCCTTTTTCCAAAAACTTATATGGAGTAAAATATAGGAATCACTAATTTTTCTTATTTTAAATAGAAAAATGTAAAATCTCTAAAAGATGATAATGCCTAGAAAACAATGCATTCTCAAAAATAAAAGTGAATTTGAAAAACAACCAAAATCTCAAACTCAAAAATAACAATTAGTAAAAAACAACAATTGAATCATAATAAATTAAATTTAAAAAAGAATTGATATTTTAAATTAAAAAAAAAAAACATGCAGAAGAATACTTTAAAAAATCTGGAAACAAACGTAAAAAGGTTTAAAATAGTTAAATACTTAAATAAATGGGAAAATTACAAAAATGTATAAATGGTTAATATAATTAATATAGTATATAAAAACGTGAACGTTTAATTCAAAAAATACTTACGAAATAGTGAAATAAATAAAATAAAATAACTTATAATGATAAACGAAATATTTAAAACAAGATAAAAATGTTACATTTAAAATAAGATAAAAATGTATTAAAACTGTTAAATAGTATGAAAAGTATTAGAAACTCATGTACAAAAGTAATTGTTTTGAAAAACTTGGAAAATATGAATATTAAAAATCGAGTAAATATTTAAAATTTGAAAATTTGAAAATATTTTAAATTAAATTTTTATATGATAAAGAATAGTAAAGTTAAAATAAACTCATTGAATAAAAATATAAAATAGTTCGTATTAAAATAATGAACTGTAAAAAATTCAAAAATAAAATAAAATAAACATGAATTTTGCAATGTATTATCACTTGAAGCACTTAATTGTTGTAATTTTGCAAAACATGAATTTCACCTTATTGTTAATTTTTGTATCCTGTTGTTTTTTTGTGTTTCTTTTTGTTGACAAATTTTGAAATTTTTGTTTTTTAGTGTTTCTTTATGTTTCTATATGTTGCTTATATTTATAAATCCAAACTTTAAGAAATTAAAAAAAACACGAATTTCATAATGTATTATCTCTTGAAGCACCTAATCATTGTAATTATTATTATCATTTTATTTTTAGTTTTTTTTTCCTATTGTTTTTTTATGTTTCTTTTTGTTGACAGTTCTGAAGTTTTTGTTTTTTTATTGTTTCTTTATATTTCTAGGTTTTTATATTTATAAATCCAAATCTATCATTATTTTAGATTTATGTATATAAATCTATTAAGATATTTTTGTTTTAAGGAAGGAGCAAAGGTAAATAGAAACTTAAATAAACTAAAATAAGTAAATAATAATGAGCAACATGGTGAAACAAAAAGTAACACGATGCAACAAAATGAAACATAATGCAACAAAATATAAATACATGTGATACAACAAAATTCAACAAATTAAAATAAAAAAAAAGCATTACAACAAATATAAATTTTAATCTATTGCTCCAATATAACACATTTGTTTATAATGTTATTTTGGTTTTGCTTCATATCATTTCTTCTTCTATATGTCACCCTTACTCACATCGGTGTTGGTGTCTCACCAAAGCTGGATTTTGATTCAAATAACACTGTTTTCCTTCTCCGTGTCGGTTGATGGCAGTTCATTCCTCAAAGATACCTATCTTTCAAGTAAAGAATAACTCAACCATATTTTGTGTTGTGAAATACTTTTCTGAGCAATGCTGATCCTGAATTTGAGTCTAACACATCCATTGAATTATAAGGTACCAAGGCTAGAGAAGTACACATTTTGCCACTATTTGACAATGGTAGCTGTGTGAAAGAAATGTCCTCTGAATCTGCCTTTGGAGGGAAACTCAAAGGACATCAAGCATGTGTGATCCCTGACCAATAGAAGTAGTTTCTATTCTCTGAAACACAACCTTACCATTATTGAAAGCAATAACGGAGAATCAGAGATGCTCTTCCCAAACTTCCTGACACAGTACTTAGCAAGTGAGTCCGATGATCTAATACTATGGTGGGTGCTTGAAGTACCAACAACCAAAATTAGTGCTTTGTAGATAATTGCATCACTAGCCAAAATTTTACAAGCTGACGACCCTCTACACACCTTGAACATAAGATTAACCTGTTTCAAGTTGCAGAAATAAAGTAACTCAGCCATAATAAACTACGCTAGTACACTCTATAAGAAATTATTACCTACTGGGGATTTCCTCCCCAAAGAGAGTACACAATGAATACAAATACAAATAGTACTTCCACAATTTCTACATTGGTGTTCAATTAAGACAAAAGACTGCAGCTAAACAATAGATGCTTGCAAAACTAAAGATTAAGAAATAAATAAAACAACCAAAAAGACTGTTGAGGCAGATGACAAAAAGTAGAACACTCACTGCTGCCACAACAAATGTCCCCAGAACAGCAAAAGCATCAAATTTAGAACTGCCAAAGCAACCAACAAAACACTTAAACTGACACAAGAAAAGTAATGCAAATAGGTTCAACCCTGTTTGATACACAATAACGACTAGGAAGCCATAATTTACCTTGAAATTATATATAATACTTTAAACCAAAGCTTAGACTATGAGCATTAAGCTAAAATAATTTTTCATGCTTTTCTTTTCATGAACAGAAGTTAAAAGCTGAAGAGGACAGACAACTGATCTCTTAGATCCATAATTTCTGGTATCTATAATAATCACAAAGAAGTATGGCCACAAAGAAAGAATCTCCACAGTCAACCGAAAAGTAAAAAACAATTGAAATAACTTCCATAAGCTTCTGGACCAGAACATGGATAAAAATTTAATCTAGAAACTAAGTAGTGCTGAAAATGTCATAAAGTAGGAAGAAGAAAAGTTCCAGAAACCTAACATGTAATGTTTTTTCTCGGACGAGGACATGAATAAAAATTTAATCTAAAAAATGAAAAAAATATCAATTGAGGCAACCAAAATTGATTCAAAGAAATCTTAAATTCGTATTGAAGAGTCGTCCTTGAGAAAGATTACCTACGTACATAGACAATTCAAATCATGTAAATCGGTCCTTTGATTTAGTTCTGGATGTTTGTTGCGATAAGGGATCGATCGATCCTGGAAAGTGTGTCGCGATCTGTGAACATCTCCAATCGTAGCCTCTCGAAGCTGAGATGCGATCTCTCATTCTCCAGGTGCTGCGCCATCCGCTCCAGCGAGAATCGGAAGAACACTGTGGCGATAACTCCACCCAGGCGATAACTCCATCCATCCTAATGTCGATGATAACTCCCATGATTTCGGATACTCAGATTGTAAGATGCGGAGGTATTTGGTGAGAAGAGAAGGGAGAGTGAAGTTAGATAGTCCGAGAGCAGAGGATAGATGAGGTTTGAATGTATGTATTGACGTTGGGAGCACTGGAGCAGTATCTAAAACTGAAATTAAAAATTGAAATTGAAAACAAAAAAGTTTAAAAATGAAAAGAGAAAGTGGCAAGGACATAAATGAAATGCTGCCATCAAAAGTATACTAGACGGGTAATTTCCACTTTATAATTTAATACTCGCTAGCTATTCTATCTATAGATAATACAATTCAAAGCTACAATTAGAGAAAGATTGTCATGTGTCATCTTCTAAGCAAATTTAGCATACTAATTATATATTTCCGTAACATTAGTACGTAATTTAGTTAGAGTAGAACTAATGTTACGTTAATTAATTCTAAGGGAATCCTACATAATTAAAACTTTAATTTCTAAAGGTATGTAATTCAAAATATAAAATCTCATATTCATTTTAAAGTGATATAATTTTTTTATTTGTATTCCGATTGTTACAAAAAATATATCAAAATTCATAACTTTTTATTATCTTTCTTATGACATCAACATTGCATATATAAAAATAATAAAAAATCATTCTACTTTTTTACAATTTAGGATCGTTTTTTACAATGCGCACAATTAATCTATAAATAATATAGATGTACATGCGAAGAAGGAAACTGATAAGCTTTACGCTTAGTAAGTCACTGTGGATCCACAAAAATATCTAGAAGTCTATGCAAATTTATCAATAGATAAATTTAGGCTATAAGCATAGCCTAAACAAATAACTAACAAATAACTTCTCAAATAAATTTTGAGAGAGATCTCAAAATAAAACATTTTCTAAAATTTCTTTCTTTAAACATCTCTGTAAAACTTTCTGAAAGAGATCTCAAAACAACTTTCTGTAAAACTTTTTGAAAGAGATCTCATTAAACTTTCTGTAAAACTCTTTGTGGCTAATTTTACAATTTTTACTCTGTAGGCCCGTGATATGTACTCAAAGGCGCCAATCTGACAACTCAGGGGAGCAACCCACTAAACATATCGGACTATCTGAAACTAAAAACTGATAATCTGAGGGAACTTGTTCCCGAATACATATCACCTGATCTTTCACTTTAAATATTAGTTCTTTTTATGGTAGTGACGTTTGATTAAAAACATCATTAAATCTGAAAATGAAATACTGACAAAATCTTGACTATGCCAAATAATAAACATAACTTAATACAACAAATAAAATAACTCGGCAAATAATTCACCAGGTTCACATAATAGCATATAGATCGACTAAAATCATCTATTAAAAATCAACCAGACTTATTTCTTTTATTTGGTTGAACAAACATGTATAGGTGGTAGTGAACTTACATGTTAACGTCTTCCGGTAAGCTCTTACTTGAAATCTTTATTTAGATTTAACTGTATAACTAAAGTTAGATGTGTGCTTAATTAAATATAATAATACTGCGAATAACATAAGAATTAGCCAAAGTTCGAACCAAAGATATTTAAACTTGGAGTATACCATCCGAGACTTCATCTCAATCGGGTGGAACATACCATCTGGAGATAGTGCTTAATTGATCTTTCATTATTTGAAAACAGTATTATTAATTAATTAATAAAGCAATTAAATTCAAAAATTTGAAACTAAAAGAAAATACATACGTTTCATTTGTCTTGAGAGATGATGATCAAACCAGTCAATACTAAAAGGTTAATATTCTCCATGATATACATTACAATCCAAAAAGGAGGTTATTAGGGATTTGACAAACCAAAATAAGATCGATATCGTATTAGTACCTCGAATAGGATTGCTAGAGATAGAGAAGAGAATTCCGTAAACCAATACTTGAACGATGGAGAGAAATCTTTTGATGACCTTGCGAAGAAGAAGAGCGGCAGATTGGCTAAGGAGATAATCGAAGGGTTTAAGAGATAAATATTTCGGTTACCTCTTTTAAAGATTTCGGTCCCACTTATTTGGGCCAAAATAACTACTTCGGGTTTCTGATCCTTTCTTCAAAAGAAACATGTTTAACCAAATTGAAAAGTATCTTCTCAATAAAAAAACTAATTAAATTTCAAAACATTATTTCCTTACGGAGTAATATTTATTTGAGCTTATCGGTAAACATTATCTGCCACAAACAAAAACATGTTAAATAATACGGAGTATATCACATTATTCATTAAAGAAACTTATTTAACTTACATCGATAATAATGATTGATATAACTAGTTCGCTAAATTGGGGTGTTACAACCTATGCCGGAGATTCCAATTGATTAGCATTTTACAATTTATTATAAAATGTATTGCACATTTTAATCTTTCCCTCAATTCTCAATTGTAATTTGTAAACTTGTACTTCATATTTCAAATAAATATGCATTCATTTTTTCATATGAAGCACTTCTCAAATTAATTAATTGGTTACAAGCTTACAACTTACAATTAAATGTTTTTAATTTACTTGAAAATGTATTTCATATTGTAATTTTTTTCTCAATTCTCAAATGTAGTTCCTATTTCAAATAAATGCACTTGAACTTTGTTTTTAATAAACATTTGTATAAACTATAAAGTTAAAAAAAAAACTGACCCGGCCCGGCCCGTCGGGTGGCCCGACCCGTGCCCCGGGCGGTTGGCCTTCCCCTAACCGGCACCGGCCATACCACGGGAGAAAGCCCAGGCAATGGGTACAGTGGTTGGCCTGGGCTGAATTTTGGTACAACACTAATTACCACACCTTACTGAAGATGACTCCCTACAAGGCCCTATATGGACAAGACCCCCCGGCTGTGATTAGAGGAGATGTAAATATGACCACGGTGGAAGAAGTATCTCAACTGACTGCTAGAAGAAATGAAATGCTAAAGGAACTGAAAGAGAATTTGGAGCAAGCCCAAAATCAAATGAAGCAACAGGCTGACAAGCACAGGAGGGAAGTATTGTTGGAAGTGGGTGACATGGTTTATTTGAAAATACAGCCTTACAAACTCAGAACTTTAGCTAAGAGGCTAAATCAGAAACTCAGTCCCAGATACTATGGTCCATTTGAGGTGCTTGAGAAGATTGGCTCAGTCGCGTTTAAACTTAAACTACCAGCAGAAAGCAAGGTTCATCCAGTTTTTCACACTTCACTACTGAAGAAAGCCATCACACCTACTATTGTGTTCCCACCTTTACCCAAATGCTTGAATGAAGAATGGGAATTGCAGGTGTGGCCAGAACAGGTACTGGATACCAGAAGAAATAAAGAAGGAGAGATGGAGCTGTTAATACATTGGAAGGATCTCTCACAGTTTGAAGATTCATGGGAGTCGCTTCATGCGATAACAGAACAATTTCCTGAGTTTCACCTTGGGGACAAGGTGAATTTTCAGGGAGGGAGTATTGATAGGAATAAGGGGCCTATTCAGTACTTTAACAAAGTCTACAGGAGGAGGAATAGGGGGTTTAGTAATTAAATAGCAAGCGGGTAGCCTTTTTATCCCTGCGTGGATGCTTTACTATAAATAGAAAGGGGAATAGCTAAATAAGGCAGGCTGTTATTTCAGACTTGACTATGGTTTGGAGAGTGGGCTTCTCTAACAGTCCCGTTGCTTGTACCCTACGTTGATCATTTTCTTCCAATAAACACTTCCATTGCTCTCTTTCTCTGCACATTTCCTAGATTATTACTGTTTCTGCTTGATTACTGCCAGTTTCTTATCACATGTGCTCCATCTTCTACAAGGACACATACTGCACACCTCTTTGCTTCTTTCCAGTACTAGTATTGATTCAATGTTTTGACTTCAGAAGTTCTAATCATTAACATTAACAGCATCATATGTTTTGCTCATGAAATCAAAGAGTATTTCTAGCTATTTATGAATGTTAAGATGTTTGCAATTTTCAGTGACATATATCATACTTTTTGACATATATCTCGGATTGACAGCACTGCTTCAAACCACTTACTGCCACATTAGCAAGTCCTGCACACTTTTTATCTTTACCAAATGAAGGCATAGGGACTTACAATCCCGAGGTCTAACAACATCCAACAACGTGCTAGATTTGGGTTTGCAAGAGTATACTCATGTCAAAAGGAATTTACAACTCCTTAGCAAAATAGACACTTACGAACAAATAGAGTGGGACCAAAAACAATAAAGCAATAAAAAGCTAAGCTGGCCTAACCTCAACACGAACCAGTCGTGCTAAGAATGCTTCCCATTCAACAGCATTCATCACACCGTCATCTGATTCTTCGCAGCTCAAATCTTCCTCTTCCCCAGCATCATTCTTGACCTGTTCTTCATTGTTTTCCAATTCTTCTTCATTATTATCATCTTCCACTTCCCCAGCATCATTGTTGACGTGTTCTTCATTGTTTTCCAATTCTTCTTCATTATTATCATCTTCCTCCTCCAAGTGCGGTTCAAAATCCAACTCCTGCCCATCTTCACCATAATATGTGCAGAAAGCCATAGGCCGTGGGCTTAACGGCAGTAATTTTTCTGGTTCTTGACTTCTATATGCAGAATTGTAGAAGTAAAGAACCATCAGGAAAAATTTGTAACTTTTTACAACCTGTCTGGGAATTCTTAAATCCCATCGTAGAACATTGCCGCTATAGATTTGAAATGGAATTGACCCTGTCCAACTAGTAGCTGGTTCTTCAAAGTGCTTTAACATGACCACATAATCAAGTCGAGTAGAGAAAGATTCCCATGAAAGGGTTAGTGGATTTAACATGATTGGACGCCTTCTTTCGAAGTGCTTGTAGTACTCTGCTAGTGGGTATGTAGGCGCCCACGGCCAACATACATGTGCCAATGTCAGGGCACTGTCATCACTTTCACCCTGAATTTCCCTTGCGAATGTATAGTAGCCTTTACACTCCCGGAGAGTGAACTCTGCTCGTTTCTGTTTGTTCCCTTCATCATCAATAATATATATAGGGATCAGGCGACATTTACTCTCAAATTCCTACTCAGGCAATCTTCCAGTAACCTTATTTTCTTTTTCACCATTGTCACTTAAGTCACTTGTTTCTGAAGGACTTCCCAACGTGAAAAATGGACTTCCACTCAAGTTTGACGAAAAAACATCAACCGCACCCGAGGCACCAATTGTGTCACTCCTATGACTTGCTTTTCTGACCCCATTATGTACCCTTCGCCTGGATGTGTGTATCTGAGCATCCTATTTGGTAACCAAATTAATTTTTAAAACAAAACTGAAGGAAGCTGAGATCTTTCAAGCAATTACCATATTAATACTTTGTAATGCAACATCATATTTGTTCAATAATGATAGCTCTTCTTTATTAATTTATGTGGAGTTGATGGAGCTACAATATTCTTACTTCTAACATTTATGTTGGCATTTAGGTACCTCTACTCTCCTTCTTCCTTGCTGCACAAACCATCATGGGGTCAGAAAAGCAAGTCATAGGAGTGACACAATTGGTGCCTCGGGTGCAGCTGATGTTTCTTCGTCAAACTCGAATGAAAGTCCATTTTTCACGTTGAGAAGTCCTTCAGAAACAAGTGACTTAAGTGACAATGATGAAAAAGAAAACGAGGTTATTGGAGGATTGCCAGAGGAGGAATTTGAGAGTAAATGTCGTCTGATCCCTATATATATTATTGATGATGAAGGAAACAAACAGAAACGAGCAGAGTTCACTCTCCGGGAGTGTAAAGGCTACTATACATTCGCAAGAGAAATTCAGGGTGAAAGTGATGACACTGCCCTGACATTGGCGCATGTATGTTGACCGTGGGCGCCTACATACCCACTAGCAGAGTACTAAAAGCACTTCGAAAGAAGACGTCCAATCATGTTAAATCCACTAACCCTTTCATGGGAATCTTTCTCTACTCGACTTGATTATGTGGTCATGTTAAAGCACAATTGGTTACCAAATAGGATGCCCCATCCACCTTTATTTTTGGGGCATGAGCGGCAAAGAAGACAATTTCTAGGCTATCCTAGGAAGCTGAGCAATAGAGATTTGTGCAAGGAAGCGTTGTGCAACAAGTCTCCTAAGGATTTTACGTGTGATAGTTTTAGGGGGGCATCAGTCAAGAGCACCTTCTTTGGAACCTTGAAGGCCACAAAATATCTCTTGCAGAATTTCAATACCTCTTCATCAATGGTTGCTCCTTCATTTGCAATGATTGCACAGTTTATCTGGTAAAAATCAAAGTAAATAGTCATTAGCTGCAATTTTTTTGCAGACTCTTATTAAATTTTCCCCCTCCAAATAAGATTATAAATAGCTTTAAATGGATATCGGCAATTGGCTATAGCTATAAATAATCTCAACTTTAAGAATTAGGTAGCTAATGTTTTATGTATACCAAAACAATATGTTTGTTTTAATAAGAAATTGAAATGATGTGCTGGTATAGATAATTCCAACCATTGCTATACACGAAAGTGATATGCAGTACTACCAAGTACCAACAATTAGTCACGGGTGAAAAATAATTCAAGATTTTGAAATGGCCACATCTCAGGAAGACGGTCATGTCAACACTATTCTTGGATACTTAATGGAAAAAAGTTTTATTATTCTTGACATATATTTAGAGAGTACGAATATCATATGTAATCTCTTAAAATGGGATTATTTTTCATCGGTTATACTATTCCAAATGCTTTCTCAGTTACAAGACTCAAGAGAGCATTTAATATTCAGTTCCCACTTTTCCTGTAAAGTAATTTCTAAAAATGTACTACGTATTACTTTGCTGAAATAAATAACAGTGTTTATGAGTGCAAAAATCATGAACATCATTCAAACAATCTAACATGACACATGTTTTGTAATTTAGTAATTTTATGGAGTCTCATGTGACTTCACTATGGCCACTTATTTTCAGAATGGGATCATCAGTTATGACTTAACTATAAAAACGAATGGTCATAATGAGACCAAGTCAGCTCATATGACTCCATAGTGGTCATATGGAGTCAAAGTTGGGATTAGGAAGTTAAAGTTTACTCTCCGGGTAATATTTAAGTTATTATCAATAATTGAAAATTTGAAAATAAACCAATAATTTTATTGAACTGCAAAAACCAAAACTAAATAGGGTAAAAAATTGATAAACAATAAGTTGAGGTTAAAAGAGCTCAGGGTTGACCACAAATTTAGTGGATAAGACCTTCAGCTGGTGTTGAGACTTGAGATAGTATAACTTTTGTGAAAGACTTACTCCCTCTATCTTAAACTTTAAGATTATAAATAGCTTTAAATGGATATCAGCAATTGGCTATAGCTATAAATAATCCCAAGTCCCAACTTTATGAATCAGGTAGCTAATGTTTTATGTATACCAAAATAATATGTTTGTTTTAAAAAGAAATTGAACTGATGTGCTGGTATAGATAATTTCAACCATTGCTATACACCAAAGTGATATGCAGTACTACCAAGTACCAACAATTAGTCACAGGTGAAAAATAATTCAAGATTTTGAAATGGCCACATCTCAGGAAGACGGTCATGTCAACACTACTGTTAGATACTTTATGGAAAAACTTTTTATTATTCTTGACATATATTTAGATAGTATGAATATCATATATAATCTCTTAAAATGAGATTATTTTTCAACGGTTATACTATTCCAAATGCTTTCTCTGTTATAAGACTTAAGAGAGCATTTAATATTAAGTTCCCATTTTTCCTGTAAAGCAAAATTTCTAAAAATGTATTACTTTGTTGAAATAAATAACTTAGGGTTTATCAGTGAAAAAATTATGAACATCATTCAAACAATCTAGCATAACTCATGTTTTGTAATTTAGTAATTTTATGGAGTCTCATACTATAGCCACTTACTTTCATAATGGAATGATCAGTTATGACTTCACTATAAAACTGAATGGTCATAATGAGACCTAGTCAGCTCATATGACTACATAGTGGAGTCATACGAGACCCCATAAAATTATGTATGTAAGAACTAAGAAGGTAGTATTTACCTTCCTCCAAACTGATAGTGTTTGGTTGGGAATTGGGATTAGGAAGTTAAAGTTTACTATCTCCCGGTAATATTTAAGTTATTATCAATAGTTGAGAATTTGAAAATAAACCAATAAATTTATTGAACTGCATAAACCAAAACTAAATAGGGCAAAAAAATGATAAACAATAGTTGAAAGAGCTCAGGGTTGACCACAAATAAGTGGATAAGACCTTCAGCTGGTGTTGAGACTTGATAATATGACTTTTGTGAAAGACGTACTCCCTCTATCCTAAACTGGTTAGACTGACACAAGTTCTGAAGACATTAAAATTATATGAGAGAGTTTTATACCGACAAATGAGAAATTGTGTAAATAACAAATTCTTTTCTCAAAGTGAAAGTAGCATAAATTTTGGGCAACCGCATTGGAAAAGTAGGCAAAACTTTTAGGAATGGAGGGACATATCAAAATGGGAAGAACGAACAAATATGGCTTTGAACCATGTGCCAGAGAACATATATACACCTCTTTTATGGAATAAATAAATCCCAAAATTTATATTAGAAAAGATAAACATCAGGAATGAAATTCGATAAAAGCAATTGATATACAAACAGATTGGTCTCTCACCTCTTCGCCATACTTATCATCAGGGACTCTAAAAGCAACAGCTTGAGCAATCTCTGGATGGGATACCAAGCAAGCATCCACTTCAATGGGTGATATTTTCCCTCCTATAATAACATTTTTTAATTGCAAAAAGCTGTTATTGCCTAACAGGATTTATAAAGAGCAACATATTTTCCTGTATTACAGTACTCCTCCAAAATAAGTTTCTGACATTCTTAGTTATAAGAAAATAATTGCTTGGTTGAGAAGAATCTTTAAATAGGTGTAAAACACAAAATATTTTCTTTCCAAAATAGACTTGTTCACTTTTAAAATAAGAAAATAATCAAAATATTATTGCTTTTAATTTTTTATTAGGAATAAATAGGTTCACTTTTGACAATAAAATATGAGTAGTCCTATTTTTCAACTTTGTCTATGTTTTAATTCTATTTCGAGCAATTTCTATCATTTGTATATTTTGTAACAAATTTGGATCACGTTATTTCAACAGTTTTGCTCCCATGCCAAAACCAAATTGGGAGTCATTTTATGACGGATAGCGGATGGAGTATTACATACATACCTCCGCGGTTGATCTCTTTGATCCTGCTGACAAGATGTAAATACCCTTCAGAACCAGTGTATCCAAGATCTCCAGTTTGTAACCACCTGAATTCGGAGGCTGATTTATTGGCGTCAGGGTAGTTTTTGTACCCTTTAGTCACATTTGATCCTCCAAAGCATGTGTCGCCAGTAGAACCTGCCTCCTGTACGATGCCATTCTCACCCAGTACTGCCATCTCTTGACCCACGGGCTTCCTGATGGATCCGGCCACATGAGGCCGATTTCCCGGAAATGTGTTCCAAGCAATCAAAAGGGTCACTTCTATCATTGCGTACACCTCCAGAAAAGGGGCCCCAAACGCTTCTTCCTGCTGAATCAATATGGACGGCGCCAGGGCAGCACTGCAGCTCCGAATGAACCGAAGCCTTGGGTAAACGGGTTCTGGATTGCTGAGATGACGGTCCAATATGATTTGCTGTGTGGTTGGCACGGCCATGTACCAAGTGGCGTTGGATTTGTTCATGTCTGGCTGACAAGTCCACGCACACAACCTCCTAGTGGTTGGGATTTCCTTACCCGTGAATATTTATGTCAAAGTCTTGGTGTTTAGGATCTGCTCGCAGTACTGAGCGGAAGATTCCGGACTCTGTGCGTGCCCAAAAAGGTCTGCTTCCACATAACAGGATATAGGTTGTGACACCAATACTCCACATGTCTGCTTCAACATTGTATGATCTATGTAGTACTTCAGGTGCAACATAGTATGCACTCCCAACAATATCATTGAGACGTTGATCTGCACATGTTTAAGAACATGTGGTTTTGCATTTTCTTAGAATAAAGGGAGACGCACAAATGAATGAATGCATTACAAGTACAAATCAATATACTGTCACACAGTTGACACGCACACATAAAAACTGCATCGGCTACTTGGTATTGAAACTTAGGGTTTCATTCTCAAAGGTGGGCCTATAGGACAAGTAGCTTGAGACCTTATATGTCAGCTTCTATTTTTATGTTTGGCCGCTATAGAATGACTTAACACGCCTCTAAAAATAGTAGCACATTCGAGCAGACCAACCAATTCTGTACTATTTTTAGTCTTAGTTGGATAAGTTACTCCTTTGAACCTAATGACTCTAATATCATATGGGGACTTGACATTTTATATGAGCAGGTCAACCTGATAAGAGAGCTAGCGCAAACCTAATGTGTGAGTTTGTATGTTTAAATGTTATCAACCTATATGCAACTTTCTATCTATCTTTATGTGTTATTTATAGATTATGTTCTGTTACGGCATACCAAACGTTATCCATGCTCTTTGCCACAAGCTGCATACTTGTAAGTTGTAACTAAAGAAGATAAAGGGTGTAGCCCATTGCACATTGACATCCCGCACAAGGCCAGGGTCCAGGGAAGGGTCCCACCACAAGGGTGTATAAGGAGCAAGCCTTCCCTTTTCATTTTGACAAGAAGCTGCTCCCAAGACTTGAATCTGTGACCTTTCGGTCACACAGCATCACCATAAACGGCGCGCCAAGTCTAAGAACTAGGCTGAATTTTCATTTATAGTTCCAATAAATTCTATGTCTCCAATAACAACAGCACGTTAACACTCGATGGATCAACTACACTTTGCAAGAGGCAATAGCATTTAAGGAAGAAGATAGATCAACTCCCTAGCACAGACAAGCTTGAAGGAGCTAGAATTGTGCAATCAGTGCCTGCTTTGATAAAATCTGATAGACCAAAATCAATGACCTTCAGGGGAGCATCTTCATCTCCTTTAGTAAAAAGAAAATTCTACAAAGAAAACAACATCTTCATCATCACCATCAACATCATCTTAATTCCAAATAGAGTGGGGTCGGTGCATGAAACCCATAGTGTTTCTGAATTGTTTAAAAATATAAACATGCAAAAAAAACAGTGGCAATCTTTTACGCCAAAGCCCTTCCTGTCATAACTTTCTAAAGAAGGAATAAGTAGATGAAATTTATATAACATCATCAATATTTAGGACTTGGATTGAAAATATAATGATCACTTAAAATACTCTCTCTCGGTTCCATAAAAGGTGTCTATTTAGTTCCAATGTACAACTGTTTATATTAGGCGAAGTACAAATGTTATCACTTAAAGTTATAAATTAGACTGGTTAACCTAAACTGATCAAAATAATGTTGTTTGTTACTCTATTTTGGTAAATTTCTTGAAAGTCTCATATTGCACATCATGGGAAATTGCAGCAATGGGAAATTGGAATTGTGAAGTCAACGTGCATATCATCAAATATGACTTGAGAAAACCACATTCATAGGAACAAATTGGGATGCATATCTCCGTAAGTGTGATAGTGACAATGGAATGGATGTATATATGGGTTACCTCAGGCTTCAGATCACGATGCACAACACCTTGAAGATGACAAAAGGCTACAACATTTAATATCTGCAAAATTACTCCCTTGGCATCCTCCTCTGTGTATCTTACGCCTCTGAAATTACAGAGTGCAAAAAAAAAAAAAATGATGCACTTAAGCTGAACAAATCTCTTACACAAACCATTAATGGTTAAAGAGGAGAAACATTACCTTGATAGTATCCTGTCTAATAGTTCACCTCCTTCACACAATCTGTACAAAAGACCACACTGAATAAATAGGATGATCTTACAATTTTTTCGCATAAACTCACACAAAGAAGAAGAGCATTAAAAGTTGCACTATAAGTTGGAAGCAGCTCCTGTATAACAAATCAGGCAGCCTGCGCGAAGCCGCGAACTTAATTGAATCATGCAATTTGTTCAGACATTTTTAAAATCTTCATTCCATCCATAGCGGTATAGCCTTGTGAAGTTGTTCTTCCTTAACCCCGAAGTTTTGTTACTTTAGTTTAAATGCAAAATAAACTACTAAATTTTTTAATATGCTAAACGTTAAAATTACTAGTTGTAGTCAAAATCCATAAATCCATAACGAGGAGCCATGGTTAATGACGTGTGTCGTATACAGGCTATATAAGAAACAATACATATATGAATTTGAATGGAACTAAAACTTAATATGGTGCCAAACCCAACCAAATCAGTAACCTTGATGTAGGCACCTTTGATGAATGCACATTCGAGACAAGGTGTTGAGTTGTCAGAGTAATGAAAACAAAATAATGGGGATGTGTACAGCCAAGAGTATGAATGTTTGAGCTGCTTCTCCTTTAAGGTTACCTTTTAGAATAGAATCATGTGTGTTAATACCTAAACTTATAGTGGAATCCGCTTCTTCAACAGAACATGAAAATAAAATTAATTTTAATAGGTAAACACATAAATACCAACTTATAAACACCGCTAGAAGACAAAAATAAATAAAAAGAAGGTTAGAATCTTCACACGCGTAGGATACAAATGTCACAAATCCAAAAATAGGAGCTTGATGCTAAACCATAATGCAATGCATAACAAAAGCCAATTTTAGGGGAAAGTGTAATTCATGAAAATAAGACAGGTAAGATGAGAGTTAACAAGAAAGGCATACTCCATCACAATGTAGACATTTTGAGCATCCTCACATGCATCATAAAACTTAATCAAATTATCATGTCCAGATAACGCTTTTAAAATTTTCACTTCCCTACGAACATCTTCAATAGATATGGCAGTTGTCATCTGCATAAACCAAGACCAGACATTATGTATTTATGACTAGGAATGAAAATCAGCACCCATTAAAATGTCAAACAAAGAAGTACTACAAATTTGAAATTTCTTTCTTTTTTAATCCCAAAGGGAGCACAAAATGGTTGTCAACAGTTGAAGGATTAGCCTTCTGAATTTGAATAATTAAGGATACAATGTTCATTAACACTAATAAATTTTAATTTGCAGCGAGCACCATTTGACAATTTCTCTTCCAGAAGGCTAAATTCAATTCATTTTACAGCAGTTCAACTAGAGATGAGGCAGAAACATGATATTCTTTGCCACCAAATGGAACATTTAAATAAATTAAATGCACATACCACTTACCTTTGCTTTGGAAATGATCTTCACAGCTACAGGTTGATTCTTCAGCTCTCCCTTTTTTCCTTTAGCCAGACAAGTATGACCGAAATGCCCACGACCCACCCCTTTCCCCAGTTCATACTTGGACGCGAAGTTTTTCGCATTCCCGAAACTTTTATCAAGCTGCGTCTCTCCGCAGCCGCCTCCATTTTCCTCGGGAATTGGCCCGCCCCTTGGTCTAGTTGAAGCGGGAGCCTGCCGCTTCAGTAGAGCCGACATTATAGGCTTTGCAGGAGACGGGGGAGGGAATGGCCACTTGAATGTCCTCCTCGTAGTTGCAGCCGGAGACGGAGAGGGACCGATGCCAGCAGGGTAGGGGCTCTGCCATGGACTGGCGGTGAAGGAATAAGCCGGAGTGTTCTTGCTGGAATGACTCTCATCGATCCCATTCGTGGATGAATGTTGAAAAGGTGCCGGGGAAGTAGGCGGTTTGGGACGCTGGCCGTCCCCGGCGGCAGCTGCAGTGGTGACGACGCCACCTGCCGGTGTGACGACGCCATCGTCGGTGACGACCTTGCTGCAACAGTGCCCCATAAACTCAACTTTTGGAGATCCGATATGATAAAGTGAGACCCTATATGCTACCCTATGTACATCCGTGGTTCAAATTAATATAAGTCCATTAACAGATCAAACCCACAACACAACTGGCCCAATGTTTTACCGGCAATAACCGACAACAAAGGCTGCGATTTAAACATATCAAAAAACGGAAAAGTAACTTCTCTCAAAAACTGAATTGCCTTCTGAAATTTGTTCGAAAACGACGCAAGCATTCATAGACGTCGTTTTTAAGCTCAAAAAACGAGGACAACCTCCATACGATTATCAACTTCGTGGAGTTCTTCGTAGAGTTGGAGAACAACAAGAAGTTGAAGAACAGAGGAAGACTTTGAGCAGCAAGTTGTTTCTATTTGAGCATTGAAGCGAGCGATGGACTTAGTCTCCGAGTATGAGATGATAAAAAACGCAGATAAACCTGAAACTGCAGAAGCATCAGAGAGGTATGTAATATTATGCTGATGAAATTTCTTAGTATTTAATTTCGGAAAATCCCTCACCTCTAACATGAATTAGAACATTCTCATGCATACTAGTAAAATCATCTCCCTCACTAATGAATAGTACCGCCGTAGGAGGTATGGAGTACTCTACTTCATCATCTTTTTGAGATGTAGAGTCATTCCAATGAACCATAACAACAGTATTACCCTCAGTAGACACTTTTATATGCGAATAGAGTGCCTAAACAGAAAATATAATGAATATATTAAGAGAGAGATGTTTTTTTGGAGTGTGTTTAATAATTTTGAGAACAAATCAACGGCTTTTATAGGAGTTGGTGTGGTTCGAGTTTGGTAAAAAACTAGACCACAAATTAAACACATAAAATACTTCACAACCATAAAAATCCAGTCGGATTCACTAATTCCGACGATATAAGGTTTTACCAACATTAGTTTTTATGATATCTCACATATTTCCTGATAGAATATTATGTGTTTATAATATAACATATAGGGGAGGGCTGCCAAACATGAATTGCAATCAAACACGTATCCGATTTGAAAATTAAAAATAATCAAAATACTATCTAGTCGGATTTCCCAATTCCGACTAGGTGTGTATTTAATTAATCGCCACTCCCCTGGTCGGATTACCCAATTCCGACAAGGGTATAACCCTAATTCAGAAGCCCTCCCCTACTCGGATTTGCCAAATCCGACTCCCGTAATATGGTAACCTAATTTGAACTCCCGTATTTTGGCTTGTCAGATGGGAGTTCCCCGTATTTTGGTAAAAAAAAAAACTCCCTTGTAAAAGCATATATAATACTTCAAAATGAACATGAAGTATTATTAAATTTGACTTGGAGATGAATTTATTTACTCCTCCATATAATAATAACGGCTCTTTAATAAACTACTAGTAATTAATTAGTGTATTTAACTTGATATAACTTTTGTAACACATTTTATAAGCTTTGTCAAATTCAATGCACCTTCTTTAATTTGTCAAAACACCACATATATATACGTACACTGATAATCTGATAGAATAGAGATCAAATTGCTTAATTTACAAAGTACAAATTTATCTTGGCCATCCGATGAGTTGATCTAAAGGATATAAAGGCAAGGTGACATTTTTGTAATAAAACCTAATATTTGCAACTACTATTTTATGTATATATAATATGCAATACTTTGAACCTCAATATGCAATGCAAATAACGTCAAGGTGCATCGTACAAATATTTGCACAATAAGCACACTTTGTACTTGATCTTTCCCCTAATCTGATATATATATATATATACACACACATTAGGGACAGACATAATTCATTATAACAGGTGGGTGAAAAGATAAAGGAGAAAGTAAAACGAAGAGTTATACGAAGTATATAGCAATAATTATGAGTAATTATATGCAGGCGATGAGAATGGTATTTGTGATTGCCATTTTATTCCTGGCAGAAGCTGCTGCAGCCAATGAAATAGCAACGCCAACACCAACGCCAACGCCAACGCCCGCACCACAGACTGAACGCGGCGGGCTGCAGAGAAAAGTCGACGACGAAGTGCGGTGGGCAATTGCGATCGACAACTGCATTGAAAGACTCATTGATCAAACTCCAGAGGGTGAAACTCTTACTGATGACAAAATCAGAGCCTTTGCGGACATCTGCACACAAACTATCGAGCAGAGTTGCCATCACTCCGATCAGTGTATATTGTTGAGATCGGAGACCACTCTAAATATATAAACATCTACAGTTGCATCTAAGTGGTATATCTAAGTGCTAAAATATTGGAGATTCGTGCGTTTGTACGTACCTTCATATTTCTTACTTATTTAAGTGATCACATTGTCTTTCATTTGAATTTGATACAATTGTTTATTTGAGTAGAATATACAAATATTGTATGATAAGAATGGTTATCATCTTAGACAATTGAAAAAATCATGGATGAGAGAATGTTTATTTGTAAATATATGCTACTTCCACTCTTAAGTCTTGAAGAGGTTCTCCCGTAAATTCTATTGAATAAAATTTATGGATAAAAATATAACTAAAATTAGTAAGAATATACTATCAGACACTACTAGTATTTAACCCGTGCGTTGCACGGGAAAACATTTCATTGAGAATGTAAAGATGGAAATGATAATAGGACTATAATTTAAACATTCAAAGTATAGAATTCAACATCTAAGAAATCATATATAAAAAAAAGTCTATAAATTGTTATACACTTCTTCACAAACAACATTTATCAGTATTACTTGGTTGACCATTATCATCACTTATGACAAATTTTAACCCTGATAGACTCGCAACTCTCGATACCGCACCATATATAGCTTCACCTGTGCATTGCAAGGAAATGCAGTATATAGCTTAATACTCAAATTTATAGAAAAATGTGATTGTGATTATTGTGTGTATAAGTATATTGTCACTACTTGTGAAATAAACATAATCATGGTCATTGATTACGTGTCTTCAAAATGTGTATTATTATCATATGGTTATGAAAATTATAGCTCTGAGGGGTGTGATTTTGTCACAAAATTTGTGACACGGATAGTCTACGATTATTTGTGAAATAAATACAATGTCACAAAACTTACTCACAAAATGTGTCTTCAAAAGTTATTAAAAGTTATTTATCATATACCTTCTTCCCAAAAGTATTTTCTTTTTCTTTTTCACCATCTCAGAATAAATTTCGATTTTCTTTTATGGCAAAAAAAATAATCATGATTCATACTTTTGTCTCCGCTCCTCTATACAACTCAACCACATAATTTTCACTTTTTAAATATATTTACAAAATCAAATTTGAATTAGTATTAAAATCCAAAAGCAATAGTAATAAAATAATATTACCTCCATCCCACTATGTTTGGGACAAAGAAGTGTGGCACAACTTTTAAGAAAAAGTAAAATTGTGTTGTTGATATTGAATTGATAAAGTGTGAATAAAGTAAGAATGAAGTGTAGTCACCCAAATATTACCCAACATGGTATGAGACAAAATTAATGGAATGGACGAAAAAAGGTAAAATGGGACAAAGTGAGGGGGCAGAGGAAGTAATATTTACTTTCATCTTATAGTCATTACGGCCAAATAGTTGCAATGTAAACATTAAACATGACAATATTTACTATCATTAATGATGGTATTTTTAGATCATGACAATATTTTTCATGGTAGCAATGACTCCTATTTCGTGAAGGAAAACATAGTAGTCCTATATTGAAATTCCAAAACCTTTTTACTCCTATTGAGAGCAATTTCTCTATCTCAAAAGCTTGGCAGATAAGACTCTAGACAAATAGAGAAACATAACATAGGCAGTATAGAATTTCTAGTACTAAAAAGGGGAGTATTATAATTAAGGAGTACGACTTCTTTTAGGGCGACTTTTCTTGTAAACAGTGAGGATTATACATTACACACAATAAACTCATAGAATACGATCAATCTTTAACTATCTTAGAGTAGGACTATACTGCTAGCTGCAGTCGTGCACTAAGGCTTTCATTCTATCAGGCTATAATCTTTATCAAAACTACATAGATGATGATAGCACCGGTTAAAAGACCCAGATTCTAAGTGCCGAACAGCGACATTAGTAACCTTTTGTGCCAGCTCCATATTTGTAAGAGAAGCTACACATACACCTACAATTAGCAAGTCACAGGCAGATAAAGACATGAACAGCAGATTACATATTCCAATATGTCAGCTCTTGATGTTAAAAAGTTCAAATCCTACAGTTATATCATTATCAAAACCTAAACTTGCCATTTATAGCTAAAAACCCACTCTTCAGACACGATTTTAAATGCGAATATAAGTATCTATATGTTTTCAGCTGCTACTACATGTTTGCTTGTGCTTGTTAACTTTTCATGTATATATCTATATTGAATTTTCAAGAGAATGAACCAAAAGAACTGGAGTGGATATGTAGGTTTTTGGGAGAACGTTTTTTTAAGAGCTAACAATACATTAAAGTGTTTTGTCAAATCCTTTTTTCTATAGTTTTTCATCAAATAGATCAAATTGGGTCCCTTTATATATCCCCTAAACAGCAAGTCCAACTCATATTGTCACATGCATCACCCTATCTACCCTTTAAATCAATAATTCTTGAGGTTAGATAGGTGACAAAGTCTTTAAAATTAAACTCAATATACATGCATTGAGTATACTTTAGTAATGCACCAAAACTCATTAATATGTATTTCTCATCTAATATAGCTAAACATGAATCAAATACATATAGTGTGTAGAAAGAAAAATGCATAGATCAATTATCTTCTAACCTGCAAATCCCAAAAACCCCACCTAGGGATCTTTCAATACAGACTCTGCCATTAGAACACCGTTTCCATTGTTTTCCTTTGGCTAAATTTATAAGCTGCGTGACCTGCATTTTCCCCCATTTTTCGTCTCATAGTTTCATCTTTATGCAACTTCTGGATTCTGGAACATGGATCAGGCAATGTCCAAAAGCAACCTAGCACAAAAAAACTCCTACCAAGAAAGTAGAGTAGTCCTTCAAGAGGCAATAGAATTTCTCTGAAGAAAAAAAAAAAAAAAATAAGTGCCTCGCATAAGGCTAAAGGCACCCCAACGATGAAATGATGAAAAATCACTCTGCTAGCTAATCACTTAAGTAAATTAAGATTAAAATCTGAAAATATCCACTGATAAATATCGATCTTGATCTAACATTCCATTAAATCATTGGACCATTAATGGCAATTGATACATTTTACCTTGAGCTATTGCTCTAAACTATCTTGGTCATGTTACAAAGAAAATATTCCATAGAACGGGGAAAAAAATTAAAGACGGTTTAAAATAGGGACTATATAAAACATTACCTTTTTTATGGTTTTCAAACAAAACATTTTAAAAGCCATTGATTAGTCACTTCAGATTGATTGTATTTTATTTTTTATGGTTGCACTGCACTAACATAACTGCATAAATTTTCAGAAAATAGTGAATTTTTAATAAAAAAGTATCAAGCCCGTTGATTAGTCACTTCAGATTGGTTGTATTTTATTTTTTTTAACTGAAGTTGAGATGAATGCATTTATCAAGAAATCCTGTATTTTCTAACCTTCAGTGTCAATGTTGAGAGGTTTAAGTGAAACAATGATGTTATGAGTTTGATGAAATGTAGTTAAACATACTATGAAAATTGAGCCTCTTTAGCAGTAGACAGCTCAAAAATTGCTTCCTTAGGTCAATCTCGCAAGTACCGCAGATCAATGTAGCAGCTTTGATATGTATTAAAGAATTATATATTGTGCATGCCAACTTTGTAAAAATTACTTAAAACTAAACTGCTTGTTGGATACCTGCATAATAAACCGATCCACTGCTCGCTGGGTACCCACATAATAAACCCTAGGAGTTATTTTCATGAATTCAGCGGCCCTGAGAAATATATCCTCAAGGTGAGCTATTATAGAAAAACAACCAAGATGGTTCTGTATTGTGCACGTCAACAGCAAGATAGTAGTACTTGAAAATTGTTTTAGAAAGGTGATCAATCATTTAACTCATTGAAGATTATACGTATAGGAAAACCTTAAGAAAGAGAATCAGATTATCTCATTTACTATGTTCCATTCATTTAACTCATGGAAGATTATCTCGCTTACCTCATTTAACCTGACTAAATGGAGATAAACTGTATCTCCTTGTTTAACCCAAAGAGATAAATTGCAAGTAGAATATGGATAGGAAAACCTTAAGAAAGAGAATCAGAAAAACGGATGCAAAATGAATAGTAAATGATACTCAGGTAGTTTTCCAGGTCATTTCAGATAATTTTCCGGTCATTTGATCCAAATGACTGTTTGTCAAGAGTGTATAGATATATTTCACACTTTTCAAAGTACATGTACCTATGTGATGTATTGATAATAGTAGATGTATTTATTTGACTCTTTTCCCTAATACAAACAATCTTCCCTAATACAAACAATCTGTCATGAGCAAGAACTAATCCAATCTCAGCCAAGTATTTTCTTTTATATATAGGAAAAAGGTGCAGTTTGATCGAATTGTAAGTATAACTATCAAACTTAGATGTCATGTGATGAACTGAAACTTATTCATGAGTCAATCACTCAACATCATTCTCTCACAAGGTATTCTAGAATAAAAAAACTCAAGTGAAACTTAAGGATTAGTTCTTGACCCCAGAATCCAAAAGTAAAGTCCTCACTCTATTTTTTCAGTAGTTTATTATAATCAAATTTCACCTGCTTATAGGGTCTTCTCTGTTGTTATGGAGCTCATGTTGAACCCAAAACATATAATAAAGTTGTTATGCATGATTTTTGGAGAAAAGCAATGGGTAATTTAAAAACACAACCGGACTCCTCTTCTTAGTCCCTAGGCAATTAAGAAGTTGTATGCAGATTTTATAAGCAAAAGTTGTATGCAGATTTTATAAGCAAAGGTTGATAAATCTGTATGGTCATTTTATTTTACTCTTATTCTCAACTTGGAAAAACAGAAAACACCATCATAAGAGACATTGCACAACCACCTTTATCTCACAAGTTGCCAGAAGGTAAAAATTAAAAACTGTTGATTAAGAGAAAACAAATAACAAAAGAAAAACAAATGATTCAATAGTTGGAAGAACAAAATATTTCCGGGTTGTTTTCTTCACCTAAGCATCTTTTTGGGTGAAGAAAGCTCGTGCAGGTCTTATGGCAGGGCAAGAAATAGGATTACTGATGTGGCCGGGTATACATCTAGACTCCTAACAATGAAAAAATTCATCTCGAGCCTCAACTTTAAGGTTTATGGAAATGAGTTTGATATATCATGTGACATTTGATGTGTAACTTATGTACGATACTTTTATCGAGACTAAATAAACTGTTTAAACACATCTGCTAAAGATTGCACTCAATGGTTACTAAATAGAATTCAAAATGTAGATCTCAGTTGTGAAA